ATGCCTCCTCTTTCATGCGCAAGTCTTGTGGCTCTTCTTTGGTGATTGTCTCCAGTATCCGCGNTCGTCAGGATCTTTGTTAGGGTGTAGGTTGCGAAGATGCTCCAGCGTGTCTTTTTTTCGCGGTGAAGGTGCTGGGGAGATTAAGGCACCAGCAGCTTTCGCGNCTTTCTTTACCGTCTGCTTGATGAACTTGATTTCGAATGGTTCATCAGCTTCGGTGACGGAGTCTATCTTGTGCGTTTTATACGATCTCCCGCAGCTTTGATGCTGAAATCCCACGCAGTAAAATTATATTGATATCGTCAGGATCTTTGTTAGGGTGTAGGTTGCGAAGATGCTCCAGCGTGTCTTTTTTTCGCGGTGAAGGTGCTGGGGAGATTAAGGCACCAGCAGCTTTCGCGATGCCTCCTCTTTCATGCGCAAGTCTTGTGGCTCTTCTTTGGTGATTGTCTCCAGTATCCGCGTAATACTGAAGTCGACGATTCTTCTCGTACATCATGAACCAGGCGATAGGTTCACTCAGATCACCATTTGCAAAGCGGTTAAATCGGGATACCCTGTTCATCCTTCCATCAGTCGATCCATGCAATGCTGGGGTAAGATGAAGCAACTTTGTTGCTCGGACAAGTTGGAGTTGTCTTTCAACACGTGCTACTTCATATCTTTCCGCTGCAAGAGGAGACAGATCTGAGGTACCTGACTTCTGCTGATCCATGTGTACAGCTCCGAATGCTTGCACGAAGAGGATGAGGACATGTTTGCAGTGTTTGCAAAATTTTCGCCAGTTGCAGATATCTTGTCGAACCTGATCCAGGGCACTGNGTTTCAGGGCGGTATCGCGTCGGGCGGTGGGCTCTGCTGTAGCTTCTGCTCCCCGCTGTAGCTCCACAACGAGAGACTCCCACAGGATGACCAGGGTAGCGGCTTGAAGCTACGGGCTAGCCCTTCAATTCAAGCTACACAGCAAGCTCCACCTCTCAGTGGTAGTCCGGCTACAGCGTATCGCGCAATCTCGCTCTCAATCAAATGCTACGCTCTCAATCAGGCGAATATGTTGTTTGCTGACGTCGTTGCGGTCCCACGGTAATAGGAGTTGCCGCCTATCGTTATCAACCTCTTGCGGTGGCTGCAAAGAACCAGAGAGAGATGGAGGCGATGTAGTACCTGGTTCGCAACAATGCTTGGTGCGTGGAGAGAAAAGGTCGCCGCATGTGCCACATGCGGCGTAACCAGGTGCCTGGCTGCTCGAGCGCAAGGATCCAGGAGGAGACAAACTGAGTAGTAGCTCTTTTCCTCGACCATTATGCTGACGTTTTTGGTGTGTAGCCAGATTCTTCGCCGTCAGGTTCGTTGATTCTTCGCTGATGCAGAGGGGACATGAATACCGCACTTCCATTGGGCATCGTGGCGCAGGTCCAGGTACGGGTGATGGTGGTGCCAAATCTTGATTCATGACACCGCTCATTGCCTATGCGACTGGAGGCTCCAGTGCAAAGCGATTCCACGTCAGTCCATCAGTCTACTACTGCTTCTGCTGCTACTGCCTTCCACCACGCTACTGAGCGAGAAGAACCTTCTCGCTGGTGACGGAGCGCACGTGTGGCAGGAACACTTGCGACCACCACAGCTTGAACACTCGCGCGTTCGACCACGCGTTCTTCTGGCTGAAGTATTTGATGGGTGAGCCCCGGATCTTGAAGCACCGGGGCTCCTTGGCTGTGCCGATAAAAGACAGCGGCACCTTACGCCCGCTGCCGCTCGTAGCCATGTAGGCGGTGACTCGATCCTTCGCTCTCATATCTTTCACGCCACGCACGGTCTTCTTGAGCTCTGATGGTGCGAGGTATGTAGCCTTGGGCATGATCCTGTAGAACAGCCCGGTTTCGTCGGCGTTGTAGACGCATTCTGGGGCATACTAAGCGCACGTCTCGCGGATTACTCTGAGGCGATCGGCGATGGCTTCGTCGTCGACGCTGCCTGCTTCGCCGTGAAGTGTACGGGGGTGCAGGTTGTTGCGCTTGACAAACTTCTTTACCCACCCCTCGGACACGTTGCAGCCGCTGTACTGCACACGCTCGGCGTCCGTAGATGCTGCGTTCTCGAGCGCACGACGAGCTTTGCGCCCGAATGCCTGGATCGCGTCCCGATTGACAGGCATTCTCAGTGCCCTCGCCTGCACCAACATTTTCATGACTGCTTACTCCACCTGGAGAAGAAAAGTGGACATATATTATTCCCGGATTTAGAAGCTGTGGTGTGCGCACTGCTGTTACTGCTCTGCTGTATATCATTTCATCCTACAGCAAATACTGCACGGCATGATACAGCGTACCTACACCACACTAGCGGTTTGCTGAACAAAAACGACCGCAAATGTACTCCGAATTAAACTACTGCTGCTGCTGTGTACACGACCCCTGCTTGTACAACAACTTTCAACATTCAAAAACAAAATCAAAATACGCTCGGATTTACTGCTGTACTCTGCTGTACTCTGCTGTACTCTGCTGTACAGCAAACATAGCTGAGCACCCACCTTCGCAAACTCAACCCCCTTCGTAGACTTGGCGCCGGGCATGGAAACTGCTGCTTGTTTGCTGATGTCTGCTTCCTTAGCTCTCCACCTGTACAAGGTGCTCACCCCGATCCCCATATCCTTCGCGATTGCTACGCCGCTCATGCTCTTCAAAAGGTCGAGCGCCCGAACCTTGTCTTCGAGCGTCGGTCGTTCGCGGTTTTCGGCGCCACGAACTTTTCTTACGTGCGGTGTTGCCAACGGGTTTCAAGCTGCCCAGTGCACCCGCTCGCTTCTCCTTCCCCGTTGCCCGCTCGTCCGGGCAGGGGCGCTTCGAAGATGCAGCCCANCGAATTAAACTACTGCTGCTGCTGTGTACACGACCCCTGCTTGTACAACAACTTTCAACATTCAAAAACAAAATCAAAATACGCTCGGATTTACTGCTGTACTCTGCTGTACTCTGCTGTACTCTGCTGTACAGCAAACATAGCTGAGCACCCACCTTCGCAAACTCAACCCCCTTCGTAGACTTGGCGCCGGGCATGGAAACTGCTGCTTGTTTGCTGATGTCTGCTTCCTTAGCTCTCCACCTGTACAAGGTGCTCACCCCGATCCCCATATCCTTCGCGATTGCTACGCCGCTCATGCTCTTCAAAAGGTCGAGCGCCCGAACCTTGTCTTCGAGCGTCGGTCGTTCGCGGTTTTCGGCGCCACGAACTTTTCTTACGTGCGGTGTTGCCAACGGGTTTCAAGCTGCCCAGTGCACCCGCTCGCTTCTCCTTCCCCGTTGCCCGCTCGTCCGGGCAGGGGCGCTTCGAAGATGCAGCCCAAGCAGTCGAGTCTGTGCTTGATTCCTTGCGGTTGCTCGAGTTGACACATCTGTGGCAAACACGGTGCATCTCGTTGTCGCCAAGCGGGTCATGCACACCGCACAGTCCATGAAGGTAGCTTCCGCAGACACGGCATGTCATATGAGTGGTTCGTAAACAGTGGGGAGCCGGGTGTGTGGTCTGGCGTTGCCAGGCAGCGGGAACCCGCGGCAGTTCGGCAGTTCTCTTAAACTGAGCTCTCTTACACCGTAGCCCCAACTGTACATATGTGAAAATACAACGAAACATATTCTTGCGTGAGCTGCCAGGTGGCAGAGACAGATGGCCCACGTGTGGTCTCGGGTGCAATATTTGTTCGATGTAATCAAGTACTGTAGTCAAGACACGGTCAGACTCCAACACGGCGCCACATTTAAGTTGGTTCGGAGCAGGTCACGGGGTTGAACTTTCAGTACACTACTGCCGTACCACCTCATCATCCGGTGGGTTCGGTTTACGGGGGCGGGGGCGGTTTAGCGACCCCTGGTGTCACGACGAAATATGGTCGCTATTCAGGGCATGTCGCTCAACCCCGTTTAGCGACCAGGTCACTAAACCGGGACCCTCAATAACATCTAGCGGTCGCTAAACCGGGAAATAGGGCCATTTCGTGGGACTCAAGAGGCCTTGTTGCAGAAATATTCTTGATCGGGTTATGTATGCCTCGTATTCAGCAGTCACAAGAAGGTAGAGGAAAGAAGAAGCACCTTAGGGTGGACCACCGGGGAGTAGTTCCTCTACGGTATTTCACCCTCCGAAGATTGTAGGGGATGTCTCAACAACAAGTGTACAGACGGTGCCCTTTGTCATTTATGCTCGCGCATGCAAGATTATCTGTCCTTACATACATGCGCATAATAGATCAACACACAAACACACACATAGTGTAGAAGTCCGATCTGCGAAACTATAAAAAAAAGGCCCAAGAGGGGAAAACGTAATGGCAACGTTTCCCAAAACACAACGCTGAAAACAGCACAATAAGTCGCTATTGAGGGTTCGACCGGTTTAGCGACCATTGGTCACTAAACGGGGGTGCAGCGGTGTCACGAGATTTTGGGGTCGCTAAACAGGGCATGCATGTCGCTAAACAGGGGGTCGCTAAACCGGGGCCCCAACCGTATTGGGGATATCTGTACACTAGGAGACACAACAGCAAAATATAGTCATGCGACGGCAGCTGTGCGTATGGTGCCTCATGCGCGGTGGTTGCTACAGACCTTGAGGCGCTAGGTGGTCGAGAATTGAAGTTGGCGTGATGGGCAACTGCTGTTCTAAAAAGACCCCCCGCTCGAACAAAGCTTTCGGCAGAGCTTTGCTCCATCACAGCTTTGGTCTCGTGGCAACCCCTCCTTACTAACCGAGCCAGCATGTACCACAAAACCCTCCGCCCGTAGCTGTGTGTATGGTGCTTCTTGTGATGTGGTTCTCAGCGGCCATGATGCGCTGGCAGGCTGAGCAACGAAGTTGGCGAGAATCGACTGACTGCTGTGTTGATCGAAAATGACACCATCATCATGCCGCTCAGTGCTGTACAGTTTTTTCGCCGTGTCACAGGTGGTGGTGTAGCTATCCCTCTCCATTGACCGAAGCAGCAGCAATGACACAGCCCCTGCGACGGATAGCACTAGATGCAGCTCACATCCCCTCAAGTTTCAGCAGCAGGGGTGGTCTGGCGAGCGAGAAAATGAACATATCGTCCATCGATGTGTGTTGTTGTTGTTTCTCACATTAGCTCCATCGCCTAGTCCACAAACAATGGGAAGCCCGTGGTCTCGAAACCCGGCACTTCGACGCCGCGGGGGAACAAACTCAAATAGGGTTGTTGTTGTTGTCTTCACATTATAAACCGTTCCGATCTCTCTCTATCCAGTACCTTCGTATGTCCGCACTGATAAAACACTCGACGCGGTCGATTCCCGTGGTCGCAGGCTAACTTACCCTGAAAAGGTACACTAAAATAAAATGGCCCCGAGGGGTTCGCAAGTCAAAATAATTCAACGACAGATATTCTGGAGTCCTCCACTCCCTCTGCGCGCTATGCGAGGTAACAACTGAGACGAGGGGTCACCATCATGGGCCGGAGAGAATGAGGTACACCCCCTTGGTTCAATCTTGGTACTTCACAACGCAAGCAGAAACGAGGCCATCTGGCACAGAAAAAAGAGAACAGAGAGATCAAGAGAAGAAATTAAGAGGTAACAGCAAGGAAAGAGAAAACGAAATAAAAAGAGCGAGGACAACAAGGGACCAGGCCGAAAATAAAAAAAAATAAGGAGACAGGACAAAACACACAGTGGAGAGACCACTAACGACAAGCAAACACGCAAACATGGCCACCAACCAGCGATACATTGTATGGTAGGTCATCACTAGTGCGGGGTTGGTGCAATGGGGCAGCGTTGGGGGGGGGGGGAATTGGCTAAAAGATATTCAATCCGGCACGCATCGCGCCACTCGGTCCGTCTCTTCTCGTTTGCTTTCTTCCTTCGCCGTCGCGTCCGTCTCCTGCCCCCCTCCCGCCCCATTGGTTGGTAGCTTGTGGTTTCGTTTGAGCGCCCGTTGTCGACTGGCGTATTCTTCCTTCTCGTGCCAGGAGGTCATGAACCTCTCAGCTCCCTGCAGCACCGCCGCATGCCAGGGCACTCCCCTCTCTACCTTCGCGGCTTCCGTCCACTTTAACGTCGGTGCCGTGTCTTTCGGTACCGGGATTCCGAAACAACATGGATCGGTTTTCGTAGATCCGTGGTCGGCCCCGATTGCCTTCAGGTCGTCCAGCACACACTTCGGCCAGTGCTATTTCTCTTCCCCCCTACGTCGCTTCCCCCCCCCTGCCAGTTCGCCGAACATCAGTCGTTTAGGGAGTCGCCCGTCTCGCTGCCTTGCCAATGCTCCCCCGAACAGTAGGCGTCGTTGTCGGATCGTGACTTCAACGCTCTGGTATTCGACCCTCTTCAGCGTCTGGGCGTAAGAGAGCTGCCAATGTGTCTTTCCTGCGCTTGTACCCGATAACTCGAAGGAGCAGTCGGTGGTGTATCGACCGCAGCGTCTGATAGTGGCCGCTGAGTGGTGACCATGTCAT